CCTTCCTAATAAGCTCCTGTGACCATCTGTGTTCTTTGAGAAAGTCTATCAAAATTACACCTTCAGAGCGACCAAACCCAGTGATCATATTCAACAGACCTCTACTCCACGACTTGAACCAGCCCAGCAGATCCCCTAGGTAGTCCCTGTTTTTACTGAATTTAGAGTATCTTAATGAGACTAAAACATAGGTATCACTGAAAGAACTTGTCTGCAACCATTCACTGATCAGAGACATGCTTCAACATGTTTGTTTTGTAATAAACTCTTGTATTTACCAACTGGACACCTCGTAGCAGTGCTGTAATTCATACCTGAACAAAGTTTATCCAGCACAACTATTTTCTCCATAAAAACCACACCACAGCCTTCTTGTGCTTGGGACGTAGGCATCAAGCGCTTCAGCACAGTAAAGAGCACCAAAGGACCAAAAACAGGGCACTCGATGTTCTGCAAAAAAAGACATTCGTTTGTAGTATGAGAGTTGAAACAAGAAGGTAGAGGGTTGCCTTGCTTTGCATATGCTGCAAACTCTCAATAAGTGATCACAAGAATCCTTCCAATCTTTGTCATTTGACAAATAAATTTTAGCAAGTTCACAAGTTGAGAAATAAAGAATCCATCAGTAATAATTGACCATATGCATCTTTCTGTTGTTAGACATGACTATTAATAGAAATGAGATTGCCCTAAGACACTGAAACGGCATTAAGATTTACTGATTCAAATTCCATGATGTGATGTCCAGGTGACACTATACTAGACCAGTGACATGGAATCTACGCTGTTAAAGTTTCTGTCAGACTTCGTCTACGAGAGAATTTTAGGCAGGAGATTTCCAAGGATAGTCTTCAAAACTTGGTAAATTTGGATAAAGAAAATCGGTACCACATAAATTGGCAAATTTTCAATGCTTTTTCCCCCCAAAAGCTCTGGCAGTTCTGAACAGTCTGAAACTGTATCTAAAACAACCTTTCTAATGGAGATACAACTAAGTCAGATCTTGCACGTTGTTCACCTTTTTCATCCTAGTGCAGTATAATGCTAACAAATTCATTGTCAAGTTGTTTCTCAGGCTACAGACAGCTGAACCCAATTTCTGACCCTGCAGTGTATGTTGGTATGAGGAGTGGGGGTGGGGTGCAAGGAGAAGGGGACATTTCCCAACCTCAAAGGTGCATTTTCACACCCTATTTTCATTCATGTCTTTTCTGTTCCCAGGGGTGGAAATGTATGGATGTATATTTTCATGGAATTTGGGATGTGAATTTGAAATTCTTGTCATTTGATTAATTGAAATGGGGTTTTGCTTTTGTTTTTTAATTTATTTATTTTCTTTTTATTGTTTTAATAAATCATTTTATTGGGGGCTCTTATAACAATCCATACATCAATTGTATCAAGCATATCTATATGTTGCCATCAACATTTCTAAAACATTTCACTTCTACTCGAACCCTCGGATTCAGCTCTTCTTTTGTCCCCTTCCACCCTCATGAACCCTTGGTAATTTATAAATTATTTTTTTCATATTTTACAGCGTTCACCCACATTTCTGTTGTTTGTCTCGGGGGGGGGGGGGCAGGGGAGGAGTGGGAGTTGTATGTTGATCACTGCAATCGGTTCCCCTTTTCTCCCCCCTACCCTCATGGTATCACTACTCTCATTATTGGTCCTAAGGGGTTTATCTGTCCTGAATTCCTTGTGTCGAGAGCTCTAACCTGTACCAGTGGACATGCTCTGGTCTAGCCAGACTTGTAAGATAGAACTGGGATCCTGATGGGTGTGGGGAGAGGAGCACTGAAGAACTAGAGGGATGTTGTATGTTTTATCAGTGTTCTACTGCGCCCTGGCTGGCTCATCCCTTCCTTGTGACCCTTCTGTGAGGGGATGTCCAGTTGTATACAGATGGGCTTTGGGTCTCCACCCTGAACCCCCTCGTTTGCATTGAAATGGTTGTTTGTTTTGGGTCTTCTGATATCTGATCCCATTGACACCTTGTGATCACACGTGTTGGTGTGCTTCTTCCATGTGGGCTTCGCTGCTTCCCTAGTAGATTAGGCTGCTTGTTTAAGACCTTTAAGACCCCAGATGCTTTATCTTCTATTAGCCGGGCACCGTCAACTTTCTTCATCACATTAGCTTATGCACCCATTTTGTCTTCTTCAGCAACTGTGTCGGGAAGGTGAGCATCACAGATGCCTGGTTATTAGAACCAAGTGTGCTTGCGTTAAGGGAGGACTTGAGTAGAAGCTCAATGTCCATCTGCTACCTTAACACTTAACCCACAAATACATGTACCTAGACCTATATCCCTATCATTATAGATTAATATATTTACATATGTACATGCCTATGTTTCTACCTCTATAAATGTCTTTTGCCTCCTATTTCTGAAAACAGGGTTGAATGTAAAGATTTAAACTAAACGTCAAGAAAAAGTTTGATCTGCTCTTTCAACCTGCCTACAATGTCAAGTAGTATAGAAAGTTCTCGAGACGCTCCACAGGCAGCATATTATCATTTGCCTTATTACAGCTAAGGACTGCATCAATATACTGTATGTCTTTTAGTCCAAACTTAAGCTGGCATGAAGTCATCAGAAATGGGGCCATAAAGGACAACTAATTAACATAGGAATAGCATCATTTTACCAAATCCTTCACTAAATATTTCATTCTAACTAAATTTTCACATTTTTGTTGTTTGTACTTGTTGTTTCTAGCTTTAGAGCAGCAGTTCTCAACCTGTGGGTCGCGACCCCTTTGGGTTTCAAACGACCCTTTCACAGGGGTCACCTAAGACCATCGGAAAACACATTTCCAATGGCATTCCGAACCAAGACACCGCTCCTCTATCCGTCTCCAGGCGGGTGTGCCCACATGGAGAAACGGGTGTGCCCACATGGAGAAACGCCCACATACAAGTACCCCGCTTAAAGACCAGGCTGCCAGACAAAATTTCATTGATTTGTAATTAGAAATAAATATTTCACAATATCTGATTATATATTGTTGTTATGATTAATCACTATAATTATCTTCAAGTTGTAACAATGAAAATACATCCTGCATATTCCCTTTGGGAAGCAGATCACTAGGCCTGTCTCCTGAGCCTGTGGGGTGGGTTCAAACCACAGATCTCTCAGGCAGTAATGGAGCACTTCACCATGGGCACCAATCAAGAACTCCATTCCTAAGTAGAGTATTATCTGTGCTCTTACCACAGAAATAACTTCACTGACCTTAGTCTTTGAAATGTGTGCTGCAGCTCAGTTCGTCTTTGCAACACCTTTTTTTTTAAATCATTTTATTGTGGGCTTGTTCAATTCTCATCACCGTCCATACCATCCATCCATTGTGTCAAGCACATGTGTACATTTGTTGCCCTCATCATTCTCAAAACATTTGCCTTCTACTTGAGCCCTTAATATCGGCTGCTACAACAGCTTTTTAAATACCGTATGAAGTTACTTTTATTCAGTTGGAGGTTTAAGGTGGTGATGTTTTTCAGGATTTGTGGGGACAGCGGATGACAATGTAAGATATGGAAATATTCTATCATTTATCAAGGGTTCTTGAGGGAGGATGGGGGAAGAAATGGGGAGCTGATATCAGGGGCTCAAGTGGGAAGAGGATGCTTTGAAAATGCTGATGGCGGCTTATGTGCAAATGTGTTTGACACTGGATGAATGTATGGATTGTGATAAGAGATGTAAGAGCCCCCAAAGTATTTTGGGGGTAGAAAAAAAGGATTTGTGTAACTTCTTATAATTTGCATGAATCTTGAACTGATTGTTTTACCTAAAAGAATCCTTTTAAGATCTGGAAGCAAACTGCAATTTGCATTCATTACTCATAGCTCAAGGCGTCCTGGTGGGACTATAGCTAAGCGCTGGACTGCTAGTAGCCAAAAGGTCATCTGTTCAAGCCCACCAGCCTCTCCACTGGAGAAACATGTCTGCTTCCGTAAAGATTGACAGCCTTGGAGACCCCACGGGCAGCTTTACTCCAAGTCAACTCAATGGCAATGGGAACTCAAAGCTTATCATTGTAGACTTTTGCTTGAGATATGTGATGCATTTGCTTGATGAAAGTAAAATTAGACGCTTTGCTTACTGCTTAAATGACTAGTAATGCTTTCAGCTTGCAGATGGTTGTCCCTGAAAGGTTTTTGATTTGTGATTTGGGACCCTTTATTTAGTCTCTTTAAACATCTGTGAAGTAAATTTAGCGCAGACCCTATATTTCCCTTTACTCTGGGCTCTGCTGGTTAGGTAGCGGACCCTGATCCCGAGAAGCGTCTCATCACTACAGATTGCACCACACATTGGAACTAACTACTCTGTATAAAGCAGGCTTCAGACCAGTTCTTCCCACTCGTCATGACCAACAAAGTGAAACCAAAACAGGCCTGGATTTGTAAAATACGGGTGCCCCGGAACAACAGCCGATATGGAGGAAATTATGAGTCTGAACCTGCTAGGAACTTACTCTCCTTCTTAGAAAAAAAGGGTGAAAGAAAGAAAAGAAAAGAAGGGTAGCACAAACATTGGATTGGGTTGCTGTTCAATGATTGGCCTGCTCAGAAATGACTGTGCCCAACTCAACGATGGCCACAGGCCACGCCACTTTGAATATGTATCAGTCTGTTCTGGAAATAATCCAGTCTCACACACCAGACTCCTAAAAGGACTCACTACACCTCTTCCAAGTTTCCCATCCCAGGGAGTATGACAGTCATTCTAATATAGTCACATTTTACAAAGTCTGTTGTAATCCTGTTTCACTGTGTTAGCCATGACCCAGACAATTCAAACCAGTTAGAAGCCCAAGTATAAACCAAGTCTATGGCCTTATAAATTTGCTCAGCTGTCGAAATATAAGTATTTCTCTTTGCACACAGATTTTGCTTTAAAGTATTGTAAGGGGGAAAGTGTGTATATATCTATATAGCTGAAATCAGTTGAAAATATGATTTAATGCATTGTGCCATTACAGGTTACCAAGTTATACCCAACCAGCAGCAAAACTATCAAGGGATAGTTGGAGTTCAGCAACCCCAAAGTCAGAGTCTAGTTAGTAGCCAACCCAACAACATTGGAAATCAGATTCAAGGAGTGGTCATTCCTTACCCTTCAGTGCCATCCTATCAGGTAGGTGGTGGTTCTTACTTACTTTGGTAGAAGTGATTTAAGTAAATGGATCTGTAAGTATCCATAACACATCTTCTCTCTTTTTCATACACAGAAGTTTCTTCTATAATATGCAACCTTATCATCTTTAGAGTTTTATTAGTCAAAGTTTCATTTGATCCTTATTTTTAGCTTTATCCATCTATGTTATTAATATTTAGAGAAAAGACCAGAACTACATTGATGTTGGCAAGTAAATTTTGTCTGACATTTGTCTGTATTCCCCTAAATAGGTATCTAAGGTAGTACCTCTCCTTTGGCAGGAGAATGGGTAAGATTAGAAAATAGATGTGTGGATAGATTTTTGCAATAGTAAGATCTAATATGGATCATAAATCAGTGGGTATAACATAGGAAAAATTGTTCCATGCTGGAACTGATTTTTTACCCCTTTACCTCAACTCTAAAATAGGATGGCAGGTCAGCTATTTAAAATGCCATGGATTTTAATTTATAGTTCTAAAGCAGGAATGCTTTAAATATTAGTGTGGTATAACAAAGAGTCAGCCTCATTTTCAGAAATTTGTTTTAACTTCATCTTTATGCAACAACTTGCAATATAGATTTGTTTGGCTATTCTTGTCATTTTCCATTGCTGAGTCTAATACCAGAAAGCCTAAAGACACTTGCATTCATTTCAACAAGCAAAAAAAAAATCTAGTTGGGAAGATAAAATATACATGTTTTATCTAAACGCATGCAAGCAAATTGAGAATATATAGGCCAGTACCCGAGGGCACCATAAAATAAAGCAATGAACAGTAAGGAAGGACTGAAAACAGTCTTCTGGGACCTTATATACCTTTACTTCTTAAAAGAAAGTTTTTAGCAAAAAATAGTTGACATTTATGGGAGAACAAAAGATGTGAACAAGGTACAAGCAGATTCCATGTAATTCCAAAAATGTAAGTGTAAAATGTAGGATGGTCAAGGCTTCTTGGGCACCAAGAGTATGCCAAGTTCTGAAGCCCATTTGATATTAGTGAACAACTAAGGGAATGGGGGATGGGAAAGGGTTGTAGCCCGTGAAAGTTGGTTCTGCATCTTTTTTTTTTTTTTCCAGATTCCCCATGCTTTTCACTTCTTTCCCTCTCTGCACAAACGTTGGCAGACTTTGCCCTATGTTTCCCTCGCAGCTAGACATTAGATAGGATCAATGCCAAGTCAGAAACATTGCCTTCTTACACATCCTGATCATGACACCTTATCCGATAACCAGAACACCTTGCTAGATGCTGAAGATTCAGATAAATAGAATCTGCCCTGGCTCTTTAGGAGCTCAGTATAGTGAGAGGGGGGAAAAAAAGTGATTTTGAAATAAATTAGAGCATCAATGGTGTGCTTTTAGTAAATGGAGGTAGATTTTTAACTTATTTCTGTACTAAGATAATTGTTATAATTTCTATAGCATTGTTTTTTAAATTTACAACTTGTGAAGTATTCTTCTCTTGGTCTATCAAGTCATTTTCACATTGGATAAATGACTGGGAACTCCTGCTTTGACCAACACTGAATGAAAGCCTGCTCTCTACTCCCTATTGTATTTGATAGACAAGCTTGGTGGTGATAAACTGTAATTCAAAAAGTATCCAGAAATGTCATCACTACTTATTAGAATATATTTTGTGGCTCTGCATTCTTGAGCCACGTTCCCTCTTTGCTGTGGTTCTCAGAGTTTTTTGTTTGCCTTTTCCTTTGTCACTAGTTAACTATTTTTAATCAGAATTGGGCTGTCATTTCTCCAATACCTTACATAGAACCAGAAAGAAGCTCAGACTAACACTGCTTCAGTAGACAAAGGAATGGAATATGTTATACTCTATAGAATTAGATTAGTCTGGGCAGTATTAAGATAATTTAGGCAGAGGCAAATTAATTGAAGACATCCTATGTATTTGAAAAGAACTGGTTGCATTTGCATTTGAGAAACATGTCATACACAAGACTTACAGATTCATGGTTAACATACAAATCACAGAGCCAGGCGGCAAGAATAGCTATGGGGCCCTGGAGCTAAACCTGAAACACCAAGCCCACTGCCACAGAGTTGATTTGGACTCATAAGGACATCTTTAGACAAGTTACTTAGCTTCATTCAGTCTTCCCATGTAGTAAACATGGATAAGAAGTTTCTTATGGTTGTTAAGAAACTTAATGAAATGATGCACTTTTAAGTACTTACAACTGATTTATAGTAGTAAGTGCTCCATAATGGTAATAATTTTCATTATCATCACTATTACCACCACTCTTACTGCTATTTTTACTAGTATCATCATTGTCTTAACTCTGAAGCTCTTAAATGATCTTTATATTCCCAAATCATTGGAATCCAACTCAATTATGTTATCACATTTGTCAGTTTAAGAACCCATTATGCCTCTGTGTTTGCTGTTTTAGGAAGTATTAAAAACTAGGAACTGAAATAAAGACTTGAGCCCATTATGGCCCTGTGGTGTCTCATAGGGCACTTCTGAGCTAGATCCTTTACAATCATCTTTCTCGTAATGGAGATAGTACCTCCCCAGTGAAAGAGATGGCATTCCTTTTTTTCTCCAGATAAGAATGGAGGGAGCCTAGGCTAGTTCAGTCGTTTTCTTAGTGTCACATGACAGTGCTGCAGCTCTTCACACCTGTTGTGCCACACTGCCTTCCCTGTAGGTGAGTGGTACTTAGCCTGAGAGAAACTTCATGACTCTTCCCAGGGCAAATGATCGTCCTTATTTAGAAACAGTTTTTTTTTTTAAAACAGCTCTTACTTTTAGTGACCTAAGACACGGTTCATACTGTTTCGTTTTGTTTTTATGCTAGCGTCCACCTAGCTAGTACGTGCCGTTTGTTAAATTCTAGTCAAACACAATCGCTAGCTCAAGGGAACAGAGAACTAAGTGGTGGTGCCTTGGCTAACCCATCAGGGAAGCCTCTGGGCACTTACAGCTTATTCCTACCTGCTCAAACTTTTAAAGCTTATGGAGGCTGGAGACAGTAACATATGCAAAGTTTTGAAGAACATTTTCCCTTTAAATTATCTTTCAAATTTTAGGTTTCACTGCCTCAAGGTTCTCAAGGAATTGTCCATCAGACTTATCAACAGCCTGTTATGTTCCCTAATCAGTCTAATCAAGGATCTATGTCCACCTCAGGAATGCCAGTTTACTATAGTGTCATTCCGCCTGGTCAACAAAATAATTTAAGGTGAGTATAAGTGAGAAACCTAATCCTTTTAGCGGCTCATTGTTTACCAGGATTATAGTCTGTTGCTAATTTTAAAATTGACTAGGGGGAATTACCTGGAGATCACTCTCGTAATGTGGAATAGAAAGATTATGACACTGTCTATTTCTCTAATACTTCTTTTAACAAAATTAGCATAAGTAAAGCACTCCATAGCAAACTAAGGGGGATTCCAGTGTTCTCATGCGTGCCTAAATCTCCTTTTACTAGCCCAAATGGAATAATGTGTGGCCACAGACTTTAAAATAGGGAGCATTCGTTTATTGAGAAGATCTAAGGTTCTCGTAGGAGTATGAGGAGAAGGTATTTTCTGTGCCTAACCTTGGTATCAAGAATGCTTTGCTAAACTGATTTCAGGCTCTGAGGAAGAAAGCATGCAAGAGAAGCACATGGCAGTAGCTCTTTCTTAAACAAGTCAGAAAAATATCCGAATAATTACTTCAACATGGAAGAAAGAGTAGGTGCTTTGCTGACAGGCCTAATGTGTTTTATTAAAAAAAACAAAAAACAAGCCATCTGTGATGGAATCGGGTAACTCTCGGCCAGGTTGTACAGAATGTATTGCGAAACCTTTCATTTATGCTAAAGAATGGGAACCTAAATTATAATTTGCTGGTAAGAGGTTGTTGTCACCATTATAGATGGTAACCATTATGTTATAGATGGTATTTATTGAGTGGCGAAGGGATTGACACACTCGATTGAAATTCGCTGAGGTACATGGGGACTTGGCTCTCATTTTATTTGTTGTCAGCACTGCCACCCCCTCCTCACTGCCCACCCAATGCACTTATTTCTCTTCTCCTCCAGCTCTGTGGGTACCAGTACTTGAGTACCTGATGGAAGCCTCTCTGGCTTTTTAAAAGTCCAGGCAGCTCTGGCGTTTCATGTTATATGGAAGCCTAGCGCTTAGAAGATAGAATGATTGCACCATGAAGATAGAAAACGTGCCTTGGTTAAACTCCCCATTCATTGTGTGCGATTTAAATTGGATAATTCAGGAGAAAATATTCTCAATCTGAGCCTCTTTGTCTAATTTATGTGTGGGGTCTGTAATGCCAGCTTAAGTTCTGTGTTGCCAATTAGAGGCAAGATTCTGTGTGAAAGCAGATAAAGTGGAAAGAGTGGAAATTGCCAAAGTGTGTGCTTTTCAAGCCCAAATCTAATTTTTTTGTTTACCTTTGAGAAATTACCAAAGTAATTTGTCTTTACAGAGCAAGTTTCTGTGTAGGGAAGAGACAGAGAAATGGGTGTCATTTAATCTGCTCACGAGAGCCCTGGTGGTGTAGTGGTAGTGGTTATGCATCAGGCTACTAACTGCAATGTCAGCAGTTGGAAACCACTAGCCGCTCCACAGGAGAAAGACGGGGCTATCTACACCCCTAAAGAGTTACAGTCTTGGAAATTCACAAGAGCAGTTCTACCCTGTGAGTCGGCATCTCCTCGATGGCAAATCTGGTGACTCGCTTGAGACCAAAGGCACCCATGCTTCTATAGGCCTGTGTGCTAGGAAGAAGCTAAGGGAAGAGATCAAGCCCTGAGACCGTGTATAAAATGGCTTGGGCCTTAAAACTTTGCTACGTTTGTTATACAAAGGGGCTCCAAAATGTTCATGGAACAATTCACTATCGCTTAATTCTGTTTTCCACACACCTTTGAAACCCCCTCCTATTTTTTAATGCCTTAAAACAAAACATCTTGAGTGCCTGCTTGGTTTCTGAGGGGCTAACCCTGGGAGGATGAAAGAGCACAATCCGGACTTAATTTATTAAGGACTGTGGTGATGATCCCAAAGAGCTGGCAAGTGCTCGCTGATGACAGCAAAGTGAAGGAAACCGTTGTGGCCCCTGGGCTACTTCTGTCTGGAAAATAAGTATTCAGAGAGTTTGCCTTGGCCTGAGGAATAACCCGAAAGGTCACAAGGTGCCCCCACTGTGTCTCACTTGAATCTTGAGAGGAAAGCCTTAAGACCTATTCATTGTTCACAAGAAAGGTAAATTTGAAATGTACTACTTGTAAGTTAACGAAAGTGATTGATGGGTGAGAGAGAAGTGGATTGGGGAGAGTGTCTCCGGTCAGACTTGTATCCTCGTATCTTTGGGATTATTTATTTGATATTAATTCAAGTCCTTCATAAAATTAATTGAGGATCTCTTTAGATGGAAAAGCATTTGTAATTTACGATAGGCATTTGCAGGCTTCACACAAGGGGGGAGGAGAATTCAACCTCACGGCAGACCAAGGCTGATTGTCATACGGTCAGGCATGCCTCCCGCACCCAACTGCCTTCACCCTGTTCTGATACCAACTGTTCATCCCACGACACTGTACTTTCCCAGCATTCTGTTTCTCTGCTAGATTTGTTAATCCACTACAATAGCTACACAGGATTCACAGGTAATACTCAAGATTATGGGGGTTCATTAGGGAAGTTAATAGATTACCACAAGTTAGGATCAGAAAACATTACAGATATTAGTCGTTTGTCTAGACTAGAGCAACATCTCTTCTCAGCCAGCCATGTCTCTCTCTGGTCCTTTGTCCTTTGCCCCATGGGCCAGGCATGGACTCAGAGGCATGCCTTGTCCACTCTGTCAGTCTTTGTGCCTCTGCTGCTTCTGCCACGTTAGGCAGGGACCTCACAGGTGCTCTGCTGCTGGCAGGTCTGTCTTGGAAGTCATCAAGTCTCTCTCCCTCTGCTTCTGAGATGGTTCTCTCATACCCATAGGAACTGCGAAACAACCTCTCCTAGTGTTTCACATACTTATTTGCATAGTTCCACCCGCTTGTTTGGTGTCACTTCACCACAGCATTTTGCAAACTACAACAGCATCTTTATTTCTGGTCTGCAGAGTACTGTGCATGTGTTAAAATGTATATTTGCCATTTCAACCTTTTTCACATGAACAGTTCAATGGCATCAACTCCCATTTGTTATTTTGTTGAGCTATCACCCTTCCTGTTCTCTGGACAATATTTAATAACCAGATTGCAATATTTCACATGCACTAGGAACAATCATTTAAAGATGTCAGTGGTACTTATTAATCAGATCATTGAATGGCCACCTGAGGGCTAATACATAAAAGTCATTCCTAAATCTGGATGTTTTAGCATATATCATTTACACTTGATCCTCCATATCTTGGTATATTTACATGAAGTTCAGAATTATACTCAGGCACCTGGAACAGAGCATGGCTTTCAATAGGCCCGTGATAGATTTGTCCTAGTGAACACACGCTTCTTTAACAGCAAAGGCAGTTTGCACATGGGACTTTCTTCATTCAGTTTTCATAGGGGTATTTGTATATGCATATATTATTTATGGACTGTATTACTAGCCATCGTTTTGTTTTGCTTTTGTAACCTCTGTATAGTGGAGGGAAGGGGTTGTTGTTAACTAATCTTGAATTGCAAAATAAAAGATGCTTGTTGAAACATGTGAATTACAGGCAGTCCCCTGGTTATGAAGTTCACCTGTGGTTACAAACCACCTACCATATGTCTTTCTTTGAACACAAACCCAGAGATCAAGTACAGAAAGAGGCAGAGTGACAGCCTGCTACCCCCCAGATTCACCCTGTAGCGGCCCGCAGGCACACCTCCAACGTCCCAGGCCTTAAACAACCTTTGGGCCAAGGAGATGATAGCAGGCATGGGGTTGGATGGCTGCCTTCATTACTGCCCTAGAGTCAACACCAGCTCCGTCTGGGGCTAGGCAGGGATCTCCTGGACTGGCCGAGAGGCTGCAGATGCAAAGCCAGCTTTACTACGCTCCACCCAGCCAGGTACCACTGCAGCACTGTCTGTGGTCAGTCACAGCACAAAGACCCTAAACCCAGGCCAGCCCAAGCCCCAACCTAGTCATAGCTCGGCCACGTCTCAACCCCACACCATGCAACCTGAGCCAGCAGGGATGGAGAGTCCAGACACAAGAGTGACCAGATCCTAGCCACCAACTGGCAGAGGAGATGAAGCAGCCAAACACAAGCCCACTGCTGGACTCCTGGTGGCCCCAAAGTCATCACCACCTACAACATACAATGGTTCATAATAGCAAATGGATACTACTCTGTGATGCACATCAAAATATTATTATTATTACTGTGTTATTTTAAAGATGTTTTGGTATACCTGGGAATGTTTCTTTAGTGATTGTAGGTGTCAAAAGGTACCCTGTATACTATACATTAAAGTAGATATTTGACTAAGTGGCATTAGTTACAAGCTATCGAACTGTTCCAAATACGTAAAACTGCTACAGGAGCTCTGATGGCATAGCAGTTGCACGTTGGTCTACTAACCACAAGGTCAGCAGTTCAAAACCACCAGCTACACCACAAAAGAAAGACAGGGCTTTCTGCTCTAGAATCTCCCAGGAGCAGTTCTGCCTTGTCCTAAAGGGTTGCTGTGAGTACGCAGTGAATTGGTTTGTTTGTTTATTTTCTACTGAAAGACAGCAGTGAGAACAGAACTAGATCCAAGGACTACCTGTAATACAAAGACATGTGAAAGGAATGCTAAGCATACACCATCAGCTCAGGCATTGGGCATTTGTCACATCCACCTCCTGCCCTTACCCACACGCACACATGCACACGCGAGGGTAAGCTGTTGACCACAAAGTCATGAAAGCCTTTCTGAAGCAAGCGTATCAAAATGTGACGTCACTGTTCCTCAGCATATCCGCCATCTAGGCTTGTGCACTTCTGTGATTCTTTCTCTCACCCAAAACCAATGAATTCTACCATCCTTGATTTATAATGCACCTGGAAAAACTCAAATCATGTGCCTTTGGAATGTCCTTTGAGTTTGGGGGGATCAAACCGAAGTCTAAAGCCGAAGGCGACTAGAGTTATAGGGCGGGGCGGGTCATGCTTCCGAGGAAATGCTCAGGACGGCCCTTTGTAAAACCCTCAGAAGTGAGCTGGCGCCTTGTCCAGTGAGAAAGCCTGTGA